AAAATGTTTGCTCTGATTTGTTTTTCTGAGTAATATGTATAGAGGTCATTAAATAATAGCTCAAAATAAAGTCTTATTGTATATTATGTGTGTGTGGGGGGGGTGGGAGACTGCCTGTATGCTAGGTCTCAGAAGTCCCAGTGTGGGGGGGAGGGGTCCCATGCAACAGAACTCACCTGGGTGGTGCAGTGTGGTATACTCCCCTCCCTTCCATCTGGCTTGCAGTTGCCCTTGTGGCACTCTGCATGGTGTCAAGTCCTGCTCGCTGCCTCCTAGGGCAGCTTATACCCTGCTTCCGCCTGCATCTGCCCCACATCCACCGGAGAGTATGGCCCCAGTCCCAGCGCTGTCCCCAGTTCCAGCTAGCACAGCTTCCCAGCTTGGCTGTTGCCACAGTTGAATGGCAGCTTCCCCTGACTCCAGCTGCTGCTGCTTCTCCTCCTCTTCTTGCCCCTGCTGTGTCACTCTGGGCAGCAGGCAATGCAGGGTAGTCATGAAGATGTGTGCCAGGCCGGAGCTGCCCAGCCCAGTGGTGGGAAGTTGCAGCCAGGCAGCTTCTGTTCCAGCGTCTGGGGCTCCAGCACAAGCTCCTGGCTGCCTTCCACCCACTCCATTCACTAAGTGCAATGAGCAGCCACCTGTGTGTGTGGCTAAGTAGGCAGAAGGTGGCTGGGAGCTAGAGCTGGAGCCCTACATGAATCTTTGCTATATTCTTAAGATCCAGAATAGAGATATTGATTTTTCAAAAACTTTAATTTTCTGAAAAGGATACAGTTTTTTGATGAAGCTAGTCACTTCATCAAAAAGAAGAGAAGATTGTTATTTTTGGTGACATGAAATCACCCAAAATTAAAAACTGCAAAATGCCTGAGCGCTCAAAGAAACAAATATAATTAGTTCACCCTTTGGGATTAAAGAGAAGAATCACAGCATGATATGTTGGTAGTCTGTAGTCTTTCTTTCTCCCTCCCTCCCTCCTTCCTCTCCCCCCCCCTCCAAGTTCAGAAAAAGTTATTCCAAGAGAGGAGACAGGATTGGAGTGATTATTCCTTTTTTTTTTTTAAATTTTATTAACAAATCTAACTTTTCAAATAACAGATTTAACATTTAAAGATACAGCCAATACCCTAAAATGAAAACAGATATTTATATTCTATCAAAAGCTCTTCCTTAACTCAAGTCAATGTCCACAGGAGTCTTGGGTTCTTTACTTGTCTTCCTTTCAGTATCTGACAGTTCCTTTATGTTTCTGTCAAAGTTAAAAGCTTTTGTGTTTTTTCATCTTTATACAGTTCACCCTTTCTTTTTTTTCTTAGAACTCTGCATAATGCAAATCTCACTATCTTTTGTATTCTTCTCTGCTTTTAAATTTTAAATTTGTTCCAAGTTTGTTCTTAAGCGGTATTGTAACTTGCACATTCCTTTAAAATTCAAATAAGTTTCTCAAACTTGTTTGGAGACAGGAGAAAGTTCATTTTTAGCAGATTCCAAAAATTTCCACCAAACTTCCAAGTAAGCATCTTTTTTTTCCTTTTTTCTTTTAGAACACTGACTTGGATGGAACAACTTTTACATTACTAAAACTTCCCAAATATTTTGAAGCCAGTCAGTTTAAGGTGTCACTTCTCTTCTAGGCTTTTGCATTTGTAATTTTTGCAGACACTAGAAAATGAGTGATCAATTCCTTATGACTCTTCTGTTGCAGAGTTCTCAGGAAAGTTCAGTAAGAACACTAAGGGAGGATCCACACATGCAGGCACATGCACTTGTAGCAGCTCAGATAGAAGTGGTGCAAATTTGAGCTGGAGCTTTTTGCCTCAGCGCATG